CCGATCTTTACCCTCAGCTCCTTATTTTTATATATATATATATTTTTAATTCTAAAAGCTTTACATCAATTACTGAGACTAATCTAAGAAAAAAAAACATTTTTCAGTTGAAGGTGTTATTTCTCCCAGCTAAACGGCCACGCTCACAGCAAAATGCCATCCTCCAGAGACTGAAACTTTCTTGCATCAGCAGCAGATGCAGGTGCCAGACCCAGCTGTCTCCTGCTGCTGCGGACCAGCTGGTGTTAGATGTGAAAGCTCTTCAGCTGGCCTGCTTGCAATCTGGAATGAAGCCCGCTCTAATTTTGCATCGAGCTTTTTATTTTTTTCCCCCTCTTGGCTTCACCCCTCACGAGGTACTTTCCAGCACTGATGCCTCTGCAGGCAGCTCAGGCCAACCTGAAATCGGTTTCTTCCTGCAATAGAGAAGCTAGAAAGACCCAGAATGGGTTTCAAGCCAGCTGTGGACCAGAAAGCACCGCTGGTGTTGCAATAGCAAAGAGCCTACCTCCGATGCCAGCCAACGATTCCATTAAACAAGGGAATTATTTCTTTCCTCTCAGGAACAAATTCAGACCCAACTACAGCTTCTGAAATTAGAGCAAGAGGCACTTCAGTCTTCCATGGAGGACAGAGAAGACAGAGTCCAGGACTACCCTGTAGGTGCCCATCAGTTTTCCTTGGCAGAGGATGAGGGAAAAAAAGGAGGAACATCTCCTCTTCCTCTCTCCCATGGGTGGGTGATGCTCAAGGGGTGTGGGGAAGGGAGAGTGGGTTTATATCTTCCCCAAATGCATCTTTTTGGTGGATCCCACTAATGCACGACCCACCATTGACTCATGATGCTCTTATCCAGCTCTCTCCTTTACCTGCTTTGGCTTGCCCTTGGTAGAAGAGGACAAAAGCTGAAAAGCAGAAAATTGTGACCAAACATAAGCAGCTGCACAAGTTCCTGGAGGAGCAGGAGTCCTTTTTGCTGGCCCAGCTGGACACAGAGTTAATGAAGGCACATGAAGAAATCCTCACCAGGCTTTTGGAGGAGACTGCAAGCCTGGGCACACTGACTGAGGAGATGGAGAGGATATACCAGCACCCAGGCTGTGAACTGTGAAGGTGAGACCCCCAAACTTCCCAAAATTGCTGTGAAGGGACTGGTTGAGCACCAGCTTGGTCTCCAGCTCTCAGTTTTGTACCCCAACATGGTAAAAGACAGACTTCATTGCAGTGGGACCCTGGTACTCCAAGGGGAGGTATTCCAGGTCACTACGTCTTTTTTTCTCTCTCATCTAGGACATCAAAACCACCTTGAGCAGGTATGTGGTCCTTCACATATCAAAATTTCACCACAATAGAGCAGCTTTGTGGCAGGATACTGGGAGAAATCATGTAGGGACAGGTTGACCCATCTGCAATATAGCCTTTGGACTTGACTGAGGACACTGGGGTTTGGAAGGAGGGCCCTTCCTCTCTACTTAATTAATGATAAATTCATACACGTACTGGCACCGACAGCTCAGGCACCCAAATGAGCTGAACTAGGAGGCCAGGGCTCCATTTCCAAAGGGCACAGGTTCCTGCACTCTCACAGTGAACATCTGGTGGAGGCATGTTGGGGAAGACTCTTAAGCCGACGCTGAAGAAATAGGTCAGCGTAACAAAAATGAGCATCATCCTGGAACAAGTTGTCAAGGTGCAGCAAGAATCATAGAATCATTTAGGTTAGAAAAGACCTTGAAGAGCATCCAGTCCAACCGATAACCCAACACTACCAAGTCCACCACTAAACCAGTTAAGGGGAGAGGAATAATTTCATGTTTCCTGGCTTGGTGGCTGGATTAGTTTTTGATGAAAGTAAAAACTAGGAATCATTAAGGTTGGAAAGGAGCTCTAAGATCATCATTCCAACCATCAGCCCAACACCCCCATGCCCACTAAACCATGTCCCAAGTGCCACCTCTACCCGTTTTTTGAACACTTCCAGGGATGGGGACTCCCCCACCTCCCTGGGCAGCCTGTTCCAATGCTTGACCACCCTTTCCGTGAAGAAATTTCTCCCAATATCCAACCTAAACCTCCCCTGGCGCAGCCTGAGCCCATTTCCTCTCGTCCTATCGCTTGTTACTTGGGAGAAGAGCCCAACACCCACCTCACTACACCTTCTTTTCAGGGAGTTGTAGAGAGAACTGCACACAACCTTACAGGGAGTGGAGACACCACCAGCCATAGCCCCATTCCATGTACCCAAGCAAGGAGACCCAAGCAGGGCTGGGAAGAGCAGCTCAGAGCATCAGGCAGGTCCATGGGCAGAAGGCAGGGCTGGGGGCAAGCCAAGAAGGCAGCCCACGGGGTGGATCCGCAGGGTCTGCAGCCATGCACGCGTTCTCCTCCAGAGCAGCTTGCAAAAGGGCCAAATGCTTCAGGGCTGAGCTCAAATAGAGCCCCTGGGCCATGGGTGGGGGCGTGGGGGTCCCAGGTGGGCCTGCTCAGGGATGTTAATTCCCATTAGGACCCTGACACAACCACCTCGTCCTTTCACAGCTGCAGCAAATCAATAAACATCTACAAGGGTGATGTGTGATCATGTCGTGTAATTTGCTGTCTAAGATGTGCGATACGGTGCACATCCATCATCTTCCCTCCGCTAATTCTCCCCACTGACTGCTGATAAAACGTTGAGCAGCCAACTACAACCAGGCGTAAATACGTCCCCTCTTTCCTTCCAGGTGCGAGAGGGAAATGTTCTCGCAGCCACTTGATATTTCCCCTGAGGTGGGAAAGAAATTCTATGATTTCACAGAGAAAACCGCAGTCATCAAGGAGGCTGTGGAGAAATTTCAAGGTACCATGCGCAGGTCCAGAAAGGAAAATGTTATCGTGCTTCTTGGTGGGGAGGGATGGAGTGAAGCCACGTGAAAGAAATGCATCCCGGTTGTTGAATGAGGGATTTTTTTTTTCAAGCTCCAATAACGAGATTGCAAATGAGCAGCAAGTGTTAGTCTGATATTGCCTGCCTGCTGCCGCTGTTGCCTGTTGCATTGGGTCACACGTATTTCACATTAACTACGTGGAGATAGCGTCTTGCTGCTCTCCCGTGCTCCTCATCGCAGATGTGCTCCAATGCGTTGTTGTATTCGTTTTCTTTGCAGCAGCCCCTCTGTGCATGGGTGAATTTCATACGTGTAGCCCTGTTTTCCTCCTCCCCCTCCTCAAGTTTCTCTACGTTCCCCCAAGCTTGTTCCTGACTCCTGATTTTTGCAGAAATCCAGAATCAGACCAATTTTTCTTTCTGCCCCTCACATTTTTCTCTTTCCTTGAGGCGTATTGGACTTCAAACTTCCTTTAACAAGTAAGCAAACCAAACACGTGCCCAAGCAATCCAGCATATTAAATAAAAAAAAATACAGTAAAAATACAGCCTTCAGTTTAGTGGCCTGTTGCTGTCTGCCTTGTACTGGGAAGCCCCAAACTGGTCCCAGTACCCAGCTATGGCCTCACACGTGCTGATGGAGGGGAGCAATCCCTCCCCTCGCCACTCTTGCTAACGCAGCCCCGTATGGGATTGATATCTTTGGTGCATGGTCCCACCGCTGACTCATGGACAACTTGTCACCCCCCTCCCCAGACCCCAAAGTCCTGTTCCATGGTTGGTCCTGGTGCAAGAGGGAATCCCACCCTGAGTTTCATGAGATTTCTCCCCAACCACTTCTCCAGTCTGCCCTGGTCCCATTGAAGAGCAGCCCTGCCCTCCAGGCTCCTATCTGCTAACTCACATCTGGCTCGGAAAGTCAACTGAACCGAAACCAGTGGGAGGCTGGCAGGAGGCGAGGAGGAAGCGTCGCGCCTGCTCGCCCTCTTCTTGCTCCTCTTCGAGCCTCCCGTGCCGCCATTTCGTGGCTTTAAGGCTGGGGGTTGATTCCCCCCATTTGCAACGAGAAAAATGTCCGAGCCAGAAGAAGGAACGTCCTCCTCTTCTTCCTGCAAAGCGAAGCTCATTTTATCCTATCCCAGAGGTAGGCTGGGAAGAGCCATGGCTACACAGAGCTCGGCGGAAAACCTGTACAGCGAAGCCTCCTGCTCCATCTGCCTGGGTTATTTCCAAGACCCCGTCTCCATCCACTGCGGCCACAACTTCTGCCGGGTATGCATCACCCGCTGCTGGGAAGGGCTGGAGGCGTATTTCTCCTGCCCGCAGTGCAGGCAGACGGCTTCGCAGAAGAGTTTCCGTCCCAGCAGGGAGCTGGCAAATATCGCTGAAATCGCCAGGCAGCTGAGCCTGCAGGCAGGAGGAGGAGCAGAGAGATGGGAGAACTTGTGCAGGCAGCACGAGGAGGCTCTGAAGCTCTTCTGCAAGGAGGACCAGCAGCCCATCTGCGTGGTGTGCGACAGGTCCCGGGCTCACCGCTTCCATGCTGTGGTCCCCATTGAAGAAGCTGCCCAGGAATATAAGGTAAAGCCCGGGGATGTGCTTGCACCTCCCCACCTCACGGAAAAAAACCCTTCCCAGGGGCAAAGTGCAGCCGCTCAGGTGCATCCGCTCTCCGCGCACCTCCGTGGCGCAGCTGCGAAGGGGGATCTTTGGGTGTCACTTACCCACGTGCTTCCTGTTTGCATTTTATTGCATGGACGTTTGTTTTTCACAGTGTTCCTATCAGGGCTCTTCCCCCCGCCCCCTCGCTTCAATTTATTCATCTTTGCCAACAGCTTGGGAGAAATTAAAAAAAATATCCTGTTAGCCTTTTTCCTCTTTGAACTTTGCTATTGACTCAACTATACTGAAATACTGACAATCATAAATATGCAAAACATGTAAAAATGCCCAAGAATTCCTTTTTTTTTTTTTAAACATGGTTACACCAGTTATTGAGGGCAATTTTGCATATTTGTTCTCCTATTCACGGTTTCTTTAGTTTCAAATACAGAGAAATAAGTTTTTCCTCTCTCTTCCCCTTCTCTGCTCCTTTTCTGTTTTCCTGC